AAGAGATCTGCATGCTCTCAGTGTCTCAATGAACTTTCCTTCTTTGAATGAAAGCTGTCGGGAACTGATTGCTGCAGGAGTCTGACAGGGGGCTGGGCACATCTGAGGGGGGCTTAGCCTTGGCTAGCGACGGCCCTGCTTGGTGGCCTCTCATCTACGTACTAACAAGGGACATCCCTGCTTAGCAGCCGGGATCTGATGAGGTCAGGCTAGCCTGGGCCATCCAGGTCAGGGCTTTATATCTAGATTATTGGGATCAGAGCTACAAACTCTTTATAGCCTGGCTAAGAGAACCTGTTCTCCCTTACATCTGGGGATTATTCCTAATGCAAATCTTCCAGCAGTATACCTCTATCAACTCATAGCTCCAAATTTGCGTAGAGCCATATCCTTGGCTAGATTTAATGTTCTTCCTTCAGCTATCTTATCTGGCAGATTCCAAGGGATTCCCTATCCTAGCAGGTGCTGCCCTTGTATGAAGGATTGTGTTGAAACTGTTGCCCATGTCCTCTTCCAGTGCCCTCTCTATTTGGCGTCCCGTCGGGATCTTCTATATCCCATATTAGGCCATTTTTTTTTAGAGACCCCTGATGATTTTAAGCTCCTTTTCTTGCTCGATAACTCAGATACAGAAATAACTGAAATAGCAGCAAAGTTTCTCTGCAGTGCCATGGCCCTACGGCCTGATAAATGATATTATGAATTAGGTTTTTTTATGATGCTACTCTGTGATGTTATTCGGCAATTTAGATTACTGTATCTTTATTTATATGCCAATAAAAGGCTTTGGAATGGGATTGGAATGGTCAGGGCTTTGTAATCAAGTAAATAAGTTAGGAAGAGGATGTTTTTTATGCATTTTGGTTGAACACACACACACACACACAAAGCTGGGAATTTATGCCTCTTATCGATCAGCAACTGGAACTGCTTGGACTGAGTCCCGCCCCCAGAGACGGACCATTTAGCCGGCCAGTAGCTGACCCACAGGCAGGAAAAATGCATGGAGAAAGTTGGGTTCGGGCTAGGAGACTTGCCAGCAATCCAAACCAAGGAGAGGTAGCATGATTTTCCTTTGCCACCATCTCTTTGTAATGGCTTTCCCGTACAAAGGATCACCAAGGAGGGTTGCATGTTGTTTGGGGATTTGTTTTTTAAAGAAATGCCTCTGTTCATGTGACGCCTGTGAGAAACAGTCTAAAGACTGTGCTGATGATAATGAACATATTGCAGGGGGAGGGGAATGGCAAAGCCATCCTCAAAATTTTGCAACAGCAATTCTGCAGCACTAACCTTTAAAGCAGGCATGTGGGTTCCAGAAATGTCAACATGTTACCAAATATTGCCTTCCTACTCTTGACCGTGAGCCAGTTTGGCGTAGTGGTTAAGAGCGGAGGACTATAATCTGGGAACCGGGTTTGAATACCCACTCCTCCACATGCAGCCACCTGGGTGACCTTGGGTCAGTCACAAGTTCTTTCAGAACTGTTCTCTCAAGGGCAGTTCTCAAGAGAGCTCTCTCAGCCCCTGCCTCACAGGGTGTCTGTTGTCGGGAGAGGAAGGGAAGGAGATTGTAGGCTGCTCTGAGACTCCAAGTGAAGGGCAGGGTATAAATCCTCCTCCTCCTCCTCCTCCTCCTCTTCTTCCCATGAAAGCTGGGAAAGTTTACATTGTTACAAGTGGGGGCCCACAAGACTCACAGGAGGTGGGAAATCCCATCTCCCCCCACTTTCTCGCCAGATCTGGTGTGGCACCTGAGCTCTCCTGCAGCTGCTGCACCTGGTTCAGCCCCTGGACTGCTTCACCATTGCCGGGCCAGTCGCATCTCCTGGGTTCCACCCAGGGGTCGTTTCGTAGAAAAAGAGCTAGGGGAACTCATTAGCATAACTCATTAGCATATGCCACACCCCTGACATCATAAGGCCCAGCAGTGTACCTGCAAGGCTGGCGGGAGTGCGAGGAAGCCCCGCCAAGGCCCTCCCTGCCCCCAGGCAGGGGTGGGGAGAGGCAGGGAGGAAGCAACTTACCCTCCCTCTTCTCCTACCTCCTCCTGGCTGAATGAGGGCCGGAAGCGGGGCGGATGGAAGCAGGGGGTGGGGCTTCGTCGTGTGCCCCGTCCCCCACCCCTCACCCAGGGGAACTGCGATCCCCCACGACCCCCCCCCGAATCGACCTCTGGTTCCACCACACTGAAGGTACGAAAGAAAGAGCATTCTCTGCACTTGCACAAAGAATGCTATTTTGCATTGAGGGTCACCCAAATTTACTGGAAAATCTGTTTTGGGTGAGTGTGTCCCAGATCTGCAGATTTAGATATCCACAGATGGGGGTAACACTTTGGAAACAGTATACAGATACTCCACTTTTCTCTCAGGCAGAAACCCAGCCATCATCCCACCTTCCATGTTACCCTCACAAAAAGCAACTCTCTGAGGAAAGTTAGGCTGAGAGAAAGTGACTGGCCCGAGGACACCCTGTGAGCTTCTGTGTCAGAGCAAGGATTTGAACCCGGGCCTCCCACATCATAGTTTAACACGAGCAACAACATCATTACATGCTGCCACATGGTTTGTTATGTTCGGCGGTGAATGATCTCTTTCCTCTACAACACGCAACAGTTGTTGGTGTTCGTTCTTGGTCATCCTTAATGGCATCTGCGTAATGCAAAACAAAAGACAAATTGATCCATTTGGTGATATTAGCTCCTTGGCACGGAACACTGTGACTGGATCCGTTACTGGTGGCGGACATCTTCCTGGCAGGAAAGGATTATTAATGGAGTGCCATTCAAGGCTCTCGCGGCCCGCATTACAGAAAATTGGGCGCTTTGTAAATGTCACCGCAATATCCAGAATGGAATGGGGGAAGCGGCGAAGGGCTTTATTAGTTCTGTAAAATGTTATTTATGTGTTTATTTATAGCCCGCCTGTCTCACTGAGACTCAAGGGCGGATTACACAGTTTGTGTCAAATACAATCGATAGGATGGGATGTCCAGTAAATGAAACAATAAGGTTCTGCATAGCAGAGATCTGAAAATGGAGCTGAGACAAAGAATAAGCATTAGCAAGGTAGATTAAATGATGCAGGAATTACATAGTAGGATAATATTTACATCAACAGACAGTATGTACTACACACAGTCTCCAAGCCTTTACTGAAGCATCTTTTTGAAGCATTTAGTTACAGAGAGCCAGTTTGGTGTAGTGGTTAAGTGCGCGGACTCTAATCTGGGAGAACAGGGTTTGATTCCCCACTCCTCCACTTGCAGCTGCTGGATGACCTTGGGCGAGCCATAGTTCTGTCTAGAGCTGTTCTTGAAAGGGCAGTTCTCGAAAGAGCTCATAATGATTCCTAGTTTATGTGAGTGTGTGTCTTTTTAAAAGTTTGGTTGCATGGTGGTGGTAAGTAGACTAGAGTGGTTGAGAGAAGCAAGCGTGGTATGATTGGTGGTTGACAGAGAGGGGGAGGGGTTTTGGAAGTGACAATGAGTGGATGAGTATGTATGTCAGTCAGGTTTGACAGTTACATGTTGACAGTTGATAAGTTCAGTTAGTTCTGTGTGGGGAATGAGTGAGACAAGCAGTTAGTTCTGGGTATGAAGGAAGTTAGAAGCAGTCCTGTATGGTATAAGTTAGTTCAGTGAGAAACAGAAGGAAGGCTAAGAGAATAGGAAAAAGTAAATGAACGTTTAATTAAAGAAAGGCTGTATGTCCTGATAAACTGGAGAGAAACAGTGAAAATATATGATCTTGAGTTAAAGTGTTACAAAGTTACCTGAAAGATCCCTGTCAGTAAGGGAGCATATTGTGTGTGATACACCAAGCAATGGTTCATTAATTACACATTATTAGATACCTTGTTCTACCCTTTTATTTATAAATTATTTCAATAAATCCTCTTTTATTCAAATATACCAGCTCTGAAAGAAATACTTTCTCAGGACCACATAGTTCCTCGTAAGCCTTGTACTCGGTCTACCAAAATAGTAAGAGCAACAGTAAAGTATAAAGGTTTGAAAGCCTTAAATTTCCTGCTGGCAGCCGTATATACCTAGTAGAAGGAAATAAAGAACACTTTTAAAGGGAAACCAGTCCTCCCCAATAAGGAGGGCGTCACAGAGCTCCTCAGCCCTGCCTAGCTCACAGGGTGTCTGTTGTGGGGAGGGGAAGGGAAAGGAGTTTTTAAGCCACTCTGAGACTCCGAGTAAAGGGCGGGGTGTAAATCCAATCTCCTCCTCCTCTTCCTCCTAATTGGTGGAAAATTCCATCGAGTCACAGCTGACTGCTTAGGCCATCCGGGTCAATAAAAGAGATGAATAGAGGTGGTTGGCCATTGCCTGCCTCTGCATGGTAACCCTGGACTTCCGTGGTGGTCTCCCATCCAACTACTAACCATGGCCGACCCTGCTCAGCTTCTGAGATCTGACGAGGTCAGGTTAGCCTGGGTCATCCAGGTCCAGCACAGTCTTAGTTAAGTATGTGAAAAAACCTCTCCTAAAGAATTCAATTTTGCCTAGTTTGTAGACAGCTGGGAGGGTGGGCCTCATAAGGCGGTCCATTCCAGAGAATGCCCGGGCACGGACAGTGGTTGATTTTGCCCATTTGCAAGGTGGTACCTTCAGGAGCCCCCATTCCAATGAGCGAAGCTATCATGGCAGAGCGTAGAGGGAGAGGTGGTCCCACAGATGTGAGGTACCAAGACCAGGAAGGGCTTTGTATGTGATAGTCAAAATCCCTTGAACTGAGCTGAATTTAAAGTACATTTGTGTGTCTCTTCTTTTAGCTATTTCAGACACTGCACCTTTAACAAATGTATAAGTATACAATTTTTTTTAATGAAATAAATGGATGTAGGTTTCCAGTACAGGGGGGAGCTCTGATTGTCTGAAACATGTATTATGGTCACAAAACAAGGTTTTCAGAGTATGTTTTCAAAATACGGACTGGAAGGCTGTTCTTAATATATGCAATTATAAATATGTTTTCCCCCCCTCAATAGTGGCCTTAAACTTCCAGACACCAGGACAACAGATGGACCTACAAAATGGGAAATTTTTGGACAACGGTGGTTCCGGCTACCTCTTAAAACCAGAGTACTTGAGAAAGAAGAATACCCAGTACAACCCATTTGATGTCGTTGGGAAATACAATCCAGTTACACTTACGATAAAGGTAAGGGACTTTTGCCAAAACTTTCACTGATCATTTTTGCAATGGTCGTTTTTATCCCCACAACAGCCCTGTGACTTAGATTAGGCTGAGAGTGACCGGCTGAAGGTTGCTTCACAAGCTTCAGGGCTGAAAGGGAGTGTGAACTTGGATTTTCCCAGTCCTACGGTAGTTCAATGCCCTAACAGTGACACCATGCTGGTTCTCATCGGATGACCTGTTCTTAGGCAGCTGTGCACCAGGAAACATTTTGCTGGCAGGGAGTGCGTTGTACGGCCACTGGAACACCCCCTCATATTTGTAAGAAGTGGCTGGATTGGGACAATGGTAGCCACCATGTAGCCTACATGAACTGAACTGAACTAAACTTCCAGACAGTTTTGCGGTCTGCTTGCACGACAGCACCATTAAGTGTTGTTATTTACGTGGATCTCAGTTCACCTGGGTAATTCTTCAGCTACAATTTAGGACATTACCGCGAATGAGTGAAAAAAATAGCAGATTGAATTAAACCTTTCAGGGCGAGCTGTGATGTTCATGTACAGAGACGGTCCTGGGAAATTGCCTGTGAGAACAAAAATAAATCAAATGGGTATGATTTATTATCTGCAATATTTCCTTGTACTTTCCTATGCTTGCTGTTGGAAATGCCTTGAATACTATAAATTCTATGGCCGGCTAGCTGCAAATAGTTATCATAGACATTTGACAGGTTATTAAATACAAAGGTTGGATTCTTTTTTTCTGCAGGAGTCGGATTTCCCCCCCCCCCCCCCCCCCCCCGGCCTAGATACAAAATAAGAATCCTTTTCTCATGTTTGCCGGCATTTAGTGAAATGTTGTATTAAATGGCGCTAAGGCCAAAAAAATTTTTCCCTCCCCTTCTGCTAATGCTAAAAATTGGGGGTTTGACAGATACGTCTGATTGGCAGTGTGTTCAAGATAAGGAACCACTGCTTCACATCATTCAGAACCGACTCATTTATTTATTAATTTATAGTCCGCCTGTATCCCGGGAACTCGAGGTGGATTACACAGAGTGAGTTTTTTTTTTAAATCAATAGGATGAGACATTCAATAAACAATGAAATCAGATTTGAGCTGTAGAACCAACCAGAAATTTAAAACAAAACAAAAACCACTAGACTTTAAGTCGAGCATAAATGTTACCTTGACACATAGGGCTGCCAGTCAGAACCCACAGCTAACAACAAAGTACACGCATTCAGGAACGGTTATACTTTTATTGCAAAGCTATAGATGCAGTAACACAGGCACTGTTAAGAATGGCAGCGAACCATTGAACATAATAGGATATAGGGCATTCGTATGCACCCCCCCCCCCCATGGCATGGGCCAATTAGCTACCCTCCTGTGCGCAGGACCAGCTAGAAAACCGTTAGGTGGCTAAAGCTGGGAACCAGGAGTCTCTCACGGTACATAGGAGCCCTCCAGACAACACAACGCCCTCCTGCACATCTGTAGAGATAAGCGTTACAGCAAAAGCATAGCAGCAGGGATAGGAATGCAATAACAATGAACAAGACTCAGAATGAACTCCCCACCCCCATGGCAGCATCGCTGATACTGCCAGACCCCCGGGGCCGGCCGGGGGGTTACCCGCTTTTTTGGGCTTCATCCCCATCCCCAAGCCCGAACACCGGCAGCCACCCCTCTCCCTTCTCTCTTGAGAGATTTAAAGGGCCCTCCAGCTGACAGCACCACAGGTGTGTGGGGTGCCACCGGATGGAAGCACTTAAGCACTTCCAGCTAGTGGGGACTGGCCCTGTGTGCCCAATCTCCAAGCGGCAATGCTGCTTGGAGTTCAGGCATGTGGCTGGCAGCCGCCCCTCTCCCTCCTCTCTTGCAAGATTTAAAGGGCCCTCCACCCGATCGGCGGGCCCTTTGAATCTTGCAGGAGGTAGGGAGAGGGGTGGCCGCCAGCGATTGTTCTTGGGGGCGGGGCTTGGAGCAGGGACACCCCCAATGTGATGTCATCGTATTGGGGATGTCCCACCCCCTCTGGGAATGCCCCTCAAAGTCCCCTGTCGGGGACAAAATTGGACCTGGCAAACCCTAACATTAAATGCAAGGAGGACATGTCCCTCTGTGGTGGTTAAATGGAACTCGTGGCTGACAGGACTGTCTATGGCGGTTAAATAGAATTTGTGGAGGGCAGATCTATTGGTGGTGGTTAAATGGAATTCATGGAGAGGTCTGTCACGATGACTGAATTGAACCTCCATGTTCAGAGGCTCGCAGCGCACCTCTGAGCACCAGATTCTGAGACTCTGCAACAGGAGGCAACTATAAGTTCTGTGTCCTCATGGGCACAAAGGATGCTGGAATGTATGGACCCTTGGTCTAATCCTGGAGAGTTCCTCTTGCCTCCTCAACACCAGCACTGAATCAAATGCCTGCCTTTGCAAAATTTAGCAATTTACTCTGAATAAAGGGTTTTTTTGGGGGGGGGGAGTGTAATACTTTAGCATTGCCTTAAGGGAAAGATTCTCTGCCATGACTGATCTACTGACTGGGGATCCTTAGAAGCATCTGTGGAACCCCCAAGGTTCTAAGCCAGGGGTCCCCAATCTGAGTCTGTGGGCACCTTTGGAATTTTGACACAGTCTGGTGGGTGCAGACACAAAATGGCTGCCACAAAATGGCTGCTGCAGGGGACACAGTCAGCCGCAAACTGGCTGCCAGTTTGGTATAGTGGTTAGGAGCACAGACTGTAATCTGGGAGAACCAGGTTTGATTCCCCACTTCTCCACATGCAGCTGCTGCTGTGACCTTGGGTCAGTTACAAATTCTTTCAGAGCTGTTCCCTTAAGGGCAGTTCTCAAGAGAGCTCTCTCAGCCCCGCCTACCTCACAGGGTGTCTGTTGTGGGGAGAAGGGGAAGGGAAAGGAGATTGTAAGCCGCTCTGAGACACCTTCAGGTAGTGAAGGGTGGGGTATAAATCCAACCTCCTCCTCCTCCTCCTCCTCCTCTTCTGCCGCAGTTTACCTTCAGTCACACAATGGAAATCCTTGTGCTGTGGTGGCACATTTTTAATTTTTTTTTTTGCAGAGCCAATCGAATCTCTACTGGCCAATCAGAAGCCTCACTGGGCAAAAGTCCCACCCTGGTCCCTCCCATTTCCCCAAAATACTTGGCAAGTGCCACAAAAGGTATCAGTGGGCACTATGAGACTTATGGGCACCATGTTGAAGACCCTGTTCTATGCAGTATAATACGAAAGCCACTGACTCCTAACATCAAAAAAAGCTAGGTACTGAGAGCCACCCTATCACTGCATGGTTTTGATGTCTACTGATTTTACATATTCAAAATTTAACCCCGGATATCCCCTATTGGGCTGGTTTTGTATCGTTCTGGCTGTTTTCAGGGAAAGCAAGTTCCTTTTCAAGCATTTAAATCGAGTATCATTGCCGACTGTTTTTCCCTTTCCTTCCATGGCAGTTAATGCAGGTCTCCTGTTGTTGTCATTTAGAGTAAGATTGAACTCGGTAGGAATCAACATTACAGTAATCTCCTCGGTGTAGCTAACGTGGATAATGCCGAAAATGGGGGGAGCTTTATAGATTATGGCACCGTGAAGAGCCGTATTATGTAGCGTTCAAACACCTTTGTCCCTGGTTTTGAATTGCACTGGAAAATATCATTGCTTGTGTTATGTAAAGTTGGGGGGGGGGAGAATCTAACCGATGCATGCTGTGTCCAGTTATAATAATATTTAGCATTTACAGAATGTTGTAGAATAGTGGCGTCAGACTGTATTCTGCAGAAACCTGGGAATCTTTGGAAGCTGATCAGTGGGCCGCACTGGGAATATTATTGTCCCATGTAATCATTATGTTCTGTCTGGTACCTTTGGCTGAATGTTTCCCCTCACTTAGGTCAGTAGAGGTCAATCACGACCTGAGTACAGTCCTTATTTGTAGTAGCTCCGGAGAATATGTATTTGTCCAGAGCATTTTTAGCCTGCCTTTCTCTGAAACTGGCCTCAAGAAGGGAATTTTAAACAGCTCTCCTCTGTATTAGAATTCTGGAGGTGATAGGCATGTCATTTGCCTGCTTGTGGTGAGTAAACCCAACGCTCAGTCCCAGTCCCACGCCCTTGAGAAACTCAGAAGCGGGAGAAAGAATGACCTCCATAGCGACTCTCTAGGAATTTCCTTGTGTCTCTATGGTCTTTACCATAGAGATCAGGGGAAATTCCTAGAGCATTGCCAGGCAGTGATGCCACATCTTCCCCAGACTCCACCTTGCCCCTAGGAACAACCCTCAAAAATCTCCTGGCATTTACTAAGGCAGTGCTGGCAATCCCTGGAAGTAATAGAAGGTTTTTTGGAGGGTTTTGGATTGCTATTAACCTCTTAGACATTTACTTCTGATTCTGGCTGTGATTATGGCTGACTGATTTTAATTTATATGTTAAGCTTGTAAACTGCTGTGGCTCCTTTTTTTGGAGAAAGTTAAATTTATATTTTTAAATATATATAGATAGATATATCAATAATAATAGGTATGTTTTGCAGAAAGACAGGCTCTTCATTCCCCTACAAGGCACAGCTGCCATATGAAAAAAAAGTATTTATTTATTTCATTTTTGCCCCACCTTTCTCCGCGCTGGGGACCCAAAGGAACGGCGTTGATTCTTTCTCCATTCTGAGATTAAAATTTATGTACGATTGTCTTTATGCAGATTATTAGTGGTCACCAGCTGCCTCCTAGTAACCTTTCCAAGAGTAATAAGGCTCATCCGTTAGTCAGGCTAGAAATTCACGGTGTTCCTGAAGATATGGCAAAGCACCAGACGTCTGTAATAAAGAACAACGGTAAGCACAAGGATCGACGCCCGGGCAAGATGTTCACGAATTGACTTCAATAACATCAAATGCTTATGGCTTGGATCTACTGGAGATTTCCGTAGATGGGAGGGAATTTTGTCCATAGAGTGCAATTTCCTCGCCTCCTGCTCTTAACCTAGGACTTCCAGCTCTGGATTGGAAAATACCTGGAGACTTGTGTGTGTGTGGGGGGGGGTGGAGCCTGGGGAGGGGGGGTTGGGGGAGGGGAGGGGCCTTTTGCAGGATATAATCCCATGTAATCCACCCTCTAAAGCAGCCGTTCTTTCCAGGACAACTGATCTTGGTCATCTGGAGATCCTGGGCTGGTTTTGGTTGGTAGGGATTTGGGGGGGGGGGGAATGTGTAGATCTGTTCTTGCAGAGGAGACAGAGCTTGAACCTGAATACAACTTGGTCTTAAAGGTGCCACTGGACTGTTTTGGATTGCTAGCTATGGGGGGGGGAACATGCAGATCTGCCCTTACAGAGGAGGGAGAGCTTGTACCTGAATAAACCTTGGCCTTAAAGGTGCCACTGGACTGTTCTGGATTGGTATCGGGGGGGGGGGGCTCTGCAACTTACCTGGCTGCTTCTTGCTCCTTGTGGCCCGGGGTTGCTGGGAGCAGGGGGTGGGGCTTGTTGCATGTGCCCGCCCCATGGGCTCTTTACTGCCGGAGCTCCAGTCCTGTGCGCTCCTGCAGGAAATGACCCCTGCCCTTCAGAATGCTGCTCCTAGTTGGAGTGGGATGACACATGATGGATTGGACCCACTAGGTATATGCTAGTAGTTTGCTTTCTTCTTTTGGAGAGAAGTGTGTTTTCCCCCCGCTGCTACTTTCTAGTAACTCAGCCACAGATGCTCCCCATGCACTCTGGTACAGCTCTCTATGACTGTGCTCAGCAACATTTGATACCCTCTGTAATATACAGAGTGGTGGATAAGTCTATCAATGTGTACTAGCCATGGGGACTGAGGGGAACCTCCACGTTCAGAGGCACTAAGCCTCTGAATCCGAGAGCCAGGAGGCAATATCAGGGGAATCATGCCCTGTTATTGGCCCTCCAGAGGAACTGGTTGGCCAGTGTGTGAGACAAGATGGTGGACTAGAGGGATCATTGGTCTAATCCAGGAGGGCTTTTCTTATGTTCTCATGTTCATCGTATACTACAAGTGCAGCTTGTTGGTAGACCAGAGGGAGGTATACTCACTCTCTGTATATAATGTTCAAAATGGTTGTTACCGAGGCCTTGTCATGCGGACTTCTTTGTGAGAGACTGGATATGCAAGTTGTCAGCTCTGGGTTGGGAAATACCTGGAGATTTGGAGTTGGAGTGGGGTTTAGGTACGGAAGGGACCCCAGCAGGGTATAATGCCATAGAGCCCACCCTCCAAAGCAGCCATTCTCTCCAGGGGAACTGATCTTGGTCGTCTGGAGACAAACTATAATAGCGGGAGATCTCCAGGTGCCAACTGGAGCTGGCAAACCTATACATAACACCTTCCTCTGGCCTAAGGAGCCTTCCTCAGAAACAAGTGGCAGCTGCTAAGTGGCCCACCTCCAATGGATGGAAGTAGCCATGGGGAGGGCGGGGTATAAATATGAAAAATAAATAAATAAATAAATTCCTGCGGAAGATCCACCTCCCTCAGGCGAAGGCTCCTTCAGCTGGAAGAAGAGGGTTGCTATCCCTCCGATGGGGGCGATGGGGGCGGGGTTTCACCAATTTCAGGGCCCCCAATCTGCTGCTGGCCAGCTGGCCGGTGGGGGGAGCCCTACCCCCAAAGAGTCCCATCCCACCTTATGTGCCCGGAAGTGATGTGATTGTACCATCTGACGTGCATGGAGGTGACATCATGGTGCCGGGCACGTCATGTGGGGGATGCTCTAGCATTTCGGCAAAAACTCTGTGGTGACCATAGGAGAAGACCCCTGAAGCAAGGATAGAAACCCCGCCACCCCGCCAGCAGCCAGGTAGGACCTGACAACCCTATGGAAGAAGGCCTCAATCATTATTGAGTAGAGTAGTGATATATAAGCCACCAGGGCTTTTTTTGTAGGAAAAGCCCAGCAGGAACTCATTAGCTTAATAGACTATAACAACAGCAAAACTCATTAGCATATTAGGCCACACCCATGACAGCACAGCTAATTAGCATATTAGGCCACACCCCATGCTGTCCCTTGGCTTGGGCAGGTGAGAAAGGCATGGGGAGGCATTTAAATGCCTCCCCGATCCTTCCAGGGGCCCCCCTTGGCCCACCTGCCTCGAAGTTGCCGGGGGGTGGGGGTTTGCTCTTCAGGCCTTCCCTCTGTAGCCATTAGGGCTACCAAGTGGGGGCAGGGAAACCCCCGTTTTGACGGCCCGATTTCCGCTGCGGCGGAATCGGGCCCCGGGTGGAACTCCGCTCCCTGAAGCTGCGTCACCAGAGGTGACGCAGCCACGTCACTCATGTTGGGGGCGTGGCCCAGATTGTCGGGGGAAAACCATATGGTTTCCCCCCCCACGATCTGGGCCACGCCCCCAGCATGAGCGATGTAGCACGTCACTTCCTGTGACGTGCTGGTGGCGCGTGCGCGCGCATGTCCTGGGAGAGCTCCTGTAGCCCGGCAAGGCTCCCCCGCCGGCAAGGGTAAGTACACTTGGCAACCCTAGGAGCCATGCATGCAGAGGTTTTGACTGTAGTGGGCGTAGCCAACTCTGAAGCCAGTCGGAACTTTTTCCTGTGCATCCTGCCCAAAAATAGCCCTGTAAGCCACTGGTATTACGATTCCCATATACAGAATTTTAGTGACAATCTACCCAAATCTTCAGTTTTCAGATTATTTCATACAACTTCCTCAAATTGCATTAATTGAAACTGAGCAGCCTTCCTTCTTCCCAATTGTGAGGTAAAGTTTGGCAAAAGCCCGCTAAAGCACAGTGAAAGCTCCGACACGTGCAGTGGACATTTGTTGTGGGGGCGGGTCTTTCTGCAGGTCTGCCAGTGTCACCAGCAAACTGAAACTCAGCTGACGCTTTAAGCTGATGCTTTGCTCAGAGAATGTTGTCTCTCTTCACAGTTTTTTTTTGTTCCCGTTGGTTTCAGCTTTTAATCCTAGATGGGATGAGATATTCACCTTCAACGTTCACGTGCCGGATCTTGCCTTGATACGCTTTATTGTAGAAGATCGGATGTGTATGATTGCCAATGATTTCCTTGGCCAATATACTCTGCCATTTACAAGTATGAATAAAGGTAAGAGAAGCAGTTTGTAACTGGGTATACAAGTAGGCTTGCCAACCTCCAGGCAGGGCCCGGAGGCTCCCCACTTTTACAACTGACCTCCATACTACAAGAGATCAGCTCCCTTGGAGAAAATGGCTGCTTTGGAGGATGGAGTCTGCTGCATTGTATCCCCTACTGAGGCCCCTCCCCTCTCCAAACCCTGCCCTCTTCAGGCACCACCCCCAAAACCTCCAGGTATTTCCCAACCCAAAGGTGGCATCCCTAAGAAGTTAGCAACTGGAGGCTTCTGGGTCCATAAATCAGGGGTATAGCCAGAAAGCTTTGGGTGGTGGGGCACTGGGAAATCTAGGGGGGCAGAGGAGGGGCGAGAAGAGAGGACACAGAGAGAGAGATAATAATAATAATAATAATACTTTCCATTTATTAATCGCTTTCCCCAGTGGGCTCAAAGAGATGTACAGTTACTCAGTATAGACAAGGGACTAACAATGTAGGGGACACCTGGTCAGTGTGATGATACCATCAGCAGGCAGGCAGGTGAAGAAGAAGAAGAAGAAGAGATTGGATTTATACCCCGCCCTTCACTACCCAAAGGAGTCTCAGAGCGGCTTACAAACTCCTTTCCATTCCCCTCCCCACAACAGACACCCTGTGAGGTGGGTGGGGCTGATAGAGCTCTTGACAGAAACTGCTCTTTCAGGAACAGCTGTGCCAGAGCTTGTGACTAACCCGAGGTCACATCAGCAGGTGCAAGTGGAGGAGTGGGGAATCAAACCCGGTTCTCCCGGATTAGAGTCCGCACACTTAAGCACTACACCAGACAGGCTCTCAAGTGAAGTGAAGACGAGAAGGGTCTTTCCTTACCTGCCGGCTGCACTTGTTCGCTTTGGCAGCCACAGGAGATGAAGAGCAGCAGAGAGTGCATACTGGCTGAGTATTAATTGCACCGGACGGCTCTCCTTCTCTTGTAGCAGGCAAAGCGAACAAATGAAGCTGGCAGGTAAGGGTAGGGGCAGCAGGAGTTGTGGGGGCATGGACCACTAGTGAGGGGGCACTGCCCCTAAATGCCTCACTGTGGCTACGGGCCTGAGCCTGCTTTGCGTGGAGGGCGGGATACCAATAAATAAATAAATAAAATATGCCCCATGAAGGGGCCCTCTTTAGCTACCTGGTGACCAGCCCGGAAGTAAGAGGAGTAGCTAGGTTTGCAAACTATGGGTTTGCAAAGTCCTGAAGATTTTGGGGTGGAGCCTGGGGAAGGCAAGGTTTGGAGAGGGGAAGGACCCCAGTAGAGTATTAATGTCCACCCTCCACAGCGGCCTTTTCCACCAGGGAATTGACCTCCGTGGTCTGGAGATCTGTTGTCATGCCAGGGATTTCCCAGGGCCCACAGGGCTCAGCAGCGAGGAATGTATTACAATCTGAATGGAAGCCTTGGCCCGCCACTTCCCAGTTCTTTTTCAAGCTGGATCTTGATGAAAACCTCTTGGTCATTCAGTCACAATTTCCAGCATTTTTAATCTGCATCTAAAAACAGGTCGATGTAGACTTACAGAACATCCTGCTGGATCGGAGAATGTTACGGGAAAGGATCATTCTCCCTACCCGACTCACATCGGAGTGCTTTTTAAACAAACACAGACTCTGAGAATTTGCTTTTTCTTCACTACTCTCGAGGGCCCCAGGGATTGAACAAATAGGGCATTAATGGTCTGTAGGACCTGACCTCGTGAGCTACTTGGAACTGTGCGTGCCCAGGCCTAAGGGCAGGAGAGCCCCTGCAATGGAAGCAAGCAGTGTCCAAGGATTACGAGATCTGGAATCTAGAGGAGGGGTGTCAAACATGTGGCCCGGGGGACAGATCAGGCCCCCGGAGGGCTTCCATCAGGCCCACAGTGGAACTGGCCATCTCCTGCTTCCAATTCTGCTGCAGCTGCTGCTGCATCATAGCTTGCTTCGCCAGACTCTCTTAACCACTCAGCCATTTCATGTTTTAACCTGGGTCCTGGACTCAGAACTCTGAGCATGAGATTTCTGTGGTGAACGTCAATAAATCAAAAGTAGGTTTGTAGCTCACAGAGCCAATGTTTTAAGCATGTTTTTGTTTTAAGTAAAAAAATATCTTTGTGTTTGTGTCCTTTATAAAGTTTATAACTCCGCTACCTGGAATTACATTTTATGGCACACATGGTCCAGCCCAACAAGGTCTCATTGGTGTCAGATCCGGCCCTCATAACCAATGAGTTCGACACCCCTGCTCTAGAGCCCAAGGAGAGAATTCTGCCACTATGGATTTCTAGTCTCCCTCTAGCAGTGTGACCTGGCAGTCCTACCTCAAGGGGTCAGTGAGGGCCAAGAAGCAACGGCAGACCGTGCAGTCGGAATTCCCCATAATGATTTGAATGAAACGGGCCCTCTTCCCTTGGCTGTGGATTTCTAGCATGTGGAATTGCCTGACGGCACCTTTAGAGGTCAGAAAGGGAATGTGCACGGCCTCCAGAGCTTTATGTATTTCACTGTCCTTCCTAGAGCAGCTGGAAACAGAATCAAGTCTGCCGATATTCTGAACGTCAAAAATACACTCAAGTCTCAAAAGGCGCCCCTCCCCTTGCGTCCGGTTCATCCTTCTTTGCCGAATGTGGCTATTTTAAACAGGCAGAATACACACAGCCCTTCCCGTTGCATCTGCACATCATCCATCTCATCTAGAAATCAGGCAGAAGAAGAGAAGCAAGACCACCAGATCTCCCGCTATTACAACTGATCCCCGGGCGACCAAAATCAGTTCCCCAGGAGAGAACAGCTGCTTTGTACAGGGTGGGCTCTGTGGCATTAGACCCTGCTGAGGTCCCTCCCCTTCCGAATCCCCACCACCCCCAGGCCCCATCTCCAAAATCTCCAGCTATTTCCCAATCCAGATCTGGCAACCCTTAAGGCCGGGCATGAAAAGTGAAAAGTGCATGGCCACTGCCCTCTGTCAGAATTCCAAAGGTGTCCACAGTCTCAAAAAGTCTGGGGACCCCCGATGCAAAGGTTTTGTCATTTGGCTCAGTGTCGGAGGCAATTTTGCACATGTATCCCCATCGTGCGAATCATCTGCCCTCTAGATTGCACCAAACACGCACTGAGAATTTCCCACATCCATTAAAGGGCGTGCAAAATTCGGGATGTGGCTGAATGTTAACTGGATTACAGATCGCCTGAGTGTCTTCAGAGGAATTGCATTAGAGAAACGAAGCACTGATAAAAGTAGCATCTTAAGTAATGGCAACGTTTTAGGAGGATGTAAAAGTTTGTGTGATAGAAATCAGTCAAATATTTTATTGCATTTTTTTAGCAGTCACAAATTTGCAACAAGCACAAAGCTCAGTTAATAAAATATGACTCTGAGTGTAATATGACATACCGCACACAATAAAATATCCATGGAATTATTAAATTGTATTTCAACTCCATGCGAACCTCCATGAAATATTTAGACTCTGATGAAAAGACGAAGTGTGTCTGCTGTCAGACGGCATCTAACAACATTATTATTAAAGGGAAACCTATCCATTTATCACTATCAATGCACCAGGAAAAAAACACAAACAAAAAATACATTCAAATCTACCAATATGAAGTGAGCAATACAAAAGAGAGATGATTACCGAAATAACATGCTAGGATGATTTTCTAGAGTCACTAAATCAAATTTACTCTATTTGACAAAAGCACAAAAACAAACAAGAGGTTAGTTGGAGAACTTGGTATTTTTCTTTAGTTTGCAAAAAGTAAATTAGGTTTATCTCCTAAGGAATGCCCTGTATATTCTGCAGAGGACAGAGATGCCACAAACTAGAGTAGATTTAAATGCCTCCTAAAACCGCGTATGTAATGTCAGTTGGATTATGGCTGGAGAGTCACTATGGGCATGCCACCTGAACATATGCATTATACAGGCACGGTACCCACAAGGACTTGTCTTTTACCTTCCTGCACTATTTTCTCTTTCCCATCCCTGAAAGCTCCCATAGCCTCTCACATTTCCTTAAGAACATAAGAGACGCCAATGTTGGATCAGGCCAAAGGCCCATCCAGTCCAACACTCTGCGTCACACAGTGGCCAGAAATACCAGGTGCCATCAGGAGGTCCACCAGTGGGGCCAGGACATTAGAGGAGCTCCCACTGTTGCCCCCCCCCCCAAGCACCAAGAAGACAGAGCATCACTTGCCCCAGAGCCCCTATCTATACCTTGTGGCTAATAGCCACTGATGGACCTCTGCTCCATATGCTTATCTAATTCCCTTTTGAAGCCGTCCATGCTTGTAGCCGCCACCACTTCCTGTGGCAGTGAATTCCAAGTGTTAATCACTCTTTGGGTGAAGAAGGACTTCCTCTTATCCGTTCTAACCCGACCGCTCTGCAGTTTCATGGAGTGCCCATGAGTTGCTTCCTTCCTTTATCTGCCTCCCCCCGCCATCTTCAGCTATCCCCCCCCCCAGCAGCCTCTTCCTGGGAAAACTATGGCCCAGTTGTGTTCTGCCGGTCACTGGGCCAGGTCCACTTGCACAGTAGAAAACCCACAAGGACTTGTGGAGGACACATCACTCTCCCCTGTATTCCCCTTCCTGCACTATTTCCTCTTTCCCCTCCCCTGGCAACCCCCATATCCACTCCCCTTTCTCTGCCACACTGTCTCTTTCTGAGCCATCCACCAGCCCACCTTTTATTTGCCTCCCATCTTCAGCTGTATTTATTATTTATCTGTGTCATTTATACTCTGCCTTTGTCCATATCAGGGACCAAAGCAGCTTTCACAATTTTCCTCTCCTCCTCCTTTTTATCCTCACCTGGTCCAAGATCACCTAGTGAGCTTCCATGACAGACAGGTGATTTGAACCTGGGTCTCCCAGAGCCTAGTCCGAAGCTTTAACAGCTACACCACATTGGCTTTTATAGAGTGGCTGCTGTTGAACAGTAGCAAGCAGCCATGCCTAGGTGAGTCACGCAAGTCACAAGGTAGCAAGTCGCACAGTGTTTGCTGCT